GTTTGTGTTTCAGGTATGGTTTGAGTGGTTTTGAATAATTTTGGGTTTCTGTTTCCTCCCATGTGGTGTGTTATCCAGTCTATGATTCAAGGTTGAGTTGCCTTATCTTGGGTATCATATTCATCATTGGTTTTATACAATGTTATTTAGTTGTTTAATTTAAGTTGGTTTACTTTATTTCAGTTTTGTATTTACATCCTTTTTTTAGGAACATTCCTGTCAACCCGGTTATTATTTTAATAACATTATCTGTGGAAAATTATTATACCTGTCATTCTAATAAAGTATTAACCTTTTTGTACTCTGGCTTCTAGTTCATTTATTTGAACTACCTGTGTTAAAGATATCATTGTTAGGGTCCCCTAGAAAGTGGGGGTGGCGTAGTAAATTTGTCCGACATTCCTAACAGCCATATATTTGAGGTCACGCCTGCAAAAACCTTTCTGTCGAGTGATGTAAATAAATTTTACAATAGTTTGTGCATGCATATTATAAGTTGCTTAAGCGAAATCAAGGAGTTTTTAAGACTGGTTTATTCATTCTTATACTGTAGACATGTAGAATATAACCGCGTTTGTGCATCAAAGTCTGTAATGTGTGCTGTAGGTGTGAAACATTTAGGAATCTTATCCAAGTTGTAGGCTAGTCAATATTGGTCTGTCAGTCAGTCGTATCTGAGGATCCGCAAATGCAACTGACCACAAACACCATTAACTTAAGTGAATTATATGGCAATAATCAACAATATGCTTTCACACAAATAACTTTATTTTTTAATGTTTTCAATATGTGTTGACACAAATGACTTGTTTGAATTTTTCTTTGATACAACATGGCACTGAGTTGCCTGCTTATTCTTGAGTTTGTAAATAAAGTCCCATAAAGTAATTCCTGATGGTTTCTTACGCCAGACTTTATACTCATGAGGGCAGATGCAGAATCACTACATATTACAACGTTGTCCCATCTGGATTGTTCAATCCATTCTAATGCTATTAATATAGCATATAACTCGACTGTATACACACTTAAGCTGTCAGATGTTCTTTTGTTTACTCCCACATGATATCTGGGGATCTATACAGCAGATCCCGTTGCCTCTGTTTGTAAATCCTTTGATCCATCTGTAAAAATTTGAATACTATCTTTGTACATATTGTCCATATATCTATAATATTCACTGACTATATCTGTACTCCTACTGCTGCCTTTTATTATTAGAAGCTCTATGTCCACCTTTGTATTTTCCATTGTCCAGATTGGTTTGTTCAGATGTTCTTTTGTTTACTCCCACATGATATCTGGGGATCTATACAGCAGATCCCGTTGCCTCTGTTTGTAAATCCTTTGATCCATCTGTAAAAATTTGAATACTATCTTTGTACATATTGTCCATATATCTATAATATTCACTGACTATATCTGTACTCCCACTGCTGCCTTTTATTATTAGAAGCTCTATGTCCACCTTTGTATTTTACATTGTTTGATCCAATTCAGTTAACACAGATTTTGCTGCTGACCCATACACAGCACAACCATAATCTAATTTAGACCTTATTAGTGCAATATAAATATATTTCAGAGCTGAAAAACTTGCTCCCCATTCCAATCCTGCAAGACACCTCATTACATGAAGCACTTTTTACATTTATACACTGTGTACTTTATATGTTCCCTCCTTGTTAGTTTTGTGTCAAAATATACTCCTAAGAATCTAAAACACTCTACTTTCTCTAAAGTGGTTCCATACATGTCCACTTTGCATTCCTTAGCCTTCTTTTTATTTGTAAAGATCATTACTTTTGTTTTTTACACTGAGAACTTAAATCCCCATTTTGTCCCCCACTCTTCAACTTGATTAATTCCCTTTTGTAATTTCTTGTTTATAAATTCACCAATTCTTCCTCTCTTCCATATAGCTCCATCATCTGCAAATAGGGATCTCCCCATATCCACTGGAAGCTCTGAGTATATGTCATTAATCATGATGGAAAATAAAATTGGGCTAATTACACTCCCTTGTGGTGTCTGACATGATCCTGATTTGCTCACTGGCTTTTATGTTCTCAAGTGAGACTGTTGAAAACTGGCACAAACTGGGTGTGATGGACCGCCCGTATTGATTGGTCATCCGGGTGCAGGGCCAGTGGTCTCTCCTGCTCCGCTGATTTACATGATTTATTCATAATGGAACCGCTAAGACGAGCTGTGAACTCCGCCTCGTGTTCACCAACCGAAACCCGTCAAATCACCGGCACATCATTCAACCGGATCGTGCAGTGAGTCATCAGTAAAGAAACTGAATTTCATGCCTGTTTC